TGTATTAGAATAGACACCCAATCAGCTGATCGGATCACTGTATCCCTGTGGTATGAAAAACCATAGAGATGTGTGATGATAGTTGGTATCACCACCTACTCTACCGCGGTGTCGGTTGGTACCACTACCCACCGTAACACCAACTACTGCGCCGGATGTAGCGTTAGGACGCCGCCGCAACCAGCAGCTATCTTCGGTCCGCCATTCGATCATCTCGCATGACTTCGTTTACACGCTCGGCGTCTTTCTTCCTCGCAGACATTTTGTTAACTATTTGTGTTTAATCTTGGTCGTTAATTATTTGTAATCTTGTTTAATTATATAATTATATATATTAATATTTAAATAAATACCAAAGCGTCTTGGTTGTTAGGGAACGCATCCGAACCTAACCTTCAAAGATGTATTGGTACTATTGATAATCATAGTTAATCATTTGAATTAATTAAAAATTAAAAACATGTTCTATCGGATGAAATTGTGAATCTAAACCTTTCTCGAACCAACTTAATCGCGCACACAAAATTTCATAAAAATATGTCCAGCCGCTTAGAAGGAGTTTGCATACTTTCGCACGGACAAAAGAAATACAGGGCGATTCATTAAGGATAAGACACTCATTTTCTCGGAATATATTAATATTTTGAACAATATTTTTTGGTACTCATTAAGCACTTTCCTATAAAAAAAAAAAAAACAACAAAATTCCATAGACTACATTTATGTTCTAAATGGCGTTACAAACAAAATCCATTTATTTGAACTAGAGTATATTGGTTCGGTCCAAGTTTAATTTTCCCATTTTTTTCATTGGTTGCCTTGATAATAAAAAAATAAGTGTGACTACAGATTTATAGAGAGAAATCATGTCTGGTGTAGCCCTACTCTGGATCACAGTAGTCTGGAAGCCAAATTAAGTGTGATCACGATAACCCAGTGTGTGTACCCGAAAATGAGTTGCAATAGGACCTAACGTTACTGAAAATCTAAACCCCGAAATCTTAGCTGATCCTTTTTGAATATGTAGCGGTTTGTGTTAATAATTGTACAAATTTCCCAAAATCCTAAAGTTTTCGTTTAATTATCTGTATACTATGTACTATATACTGTGTACTTCTGGGTGTCACTACGGGTTGATCTACACAAAAACAGGTTACACAATACACATAAGCAAAACAAAATATACCCAATAATTTGGTGGGCGTTTGAAAGTCGGTCGGACTATTACATTTGGCCGCGTTTTGGACTGTATAATTTGTGCGATTGAACTGTTTCGATTTATTGTCCATGGCAATATCAACACCTCGTTGACATTCAAACTGGGTGTCTAAAAAATTAACCATTTGCACAGACATTGTTATTTTAAAATCGTACGTTTTAGAATAAGACAACTCGTACATACCGTTTTGAATTGCTGCATTTTCGTATGGTAAGGTAGTATTCGTTTTCAGAGCATGTAGATCGTGGCCGAGAAGTTGGTTGATCACAAAAAACAATGGTAGTTTTTCGAAATTGTCTGAAATCAACAACGTAAGTGCGATTTTTCACGGGCAATACTATTTTCTAATGTGGCTTACGTTTACTTAGTAATATCCCGAGAAGAGATGTCTGAACAAGAACATTAAACATTATTTTACTACTAAAACGAAAATCGTATATTTAACCATCTTGTAGAATTATGTTTTACGACAACAACGTTTTATTGTGCACACTAATATTAAGCCCATTAGTTACTATTGGCAACTGGATGTTTTACATTTTTCAGTGTAGACCTCGGACGACGCCTGATAAAATTGCGATGGTTACCAGTTAACAGTAACCGTGTGATATATAATTTGTACCTTTTTATATGATTCGTATTTTATAATTTTATTTCCCTTCTAACGAATTTCTTTTAAACATTTTTGGGCTTGTCGATTATAGATTGAATGTAAAAAATAAAAATAAATTCAAACGTATTTCTTACAATACTTGTCAGTGACCGTAAGCACATTGGACTGAATCCGGAATTGATGAGGCCCTTCTTAATGTCTTGAGTATACATTTGTTTTGTTTGTCAAGTATGTTACGATTTGATTTTCTTGATCTTTATATGACACAACATTGTAGCAACTAGTACTACTATGTTAGCTTTATAATGTTATAATTAATGTTAAACACACTCGTTTAAATTGTTAGTTCACTTACAAAAAAAGGTTTTTTTTGGTTACTGGACCACAATATACCACAACATATATAAATGGTTGACTACAATTACTTACTACTTGCACAATAATAAAGCATTCGTTTTGATAACGTTCAATTTCCTGGATTACTACTATGAGTATATATTACAATAAAATATCCACTTAGACTTGGTTATTGAGCAGCCAGCCTAAGTAATACATTTGTCTTCAGTATTTAAACTTTTGAACGATTTTCATCGATCATATTACCACAAGTGATAATATATTTGTGTGAAAATAACTTTCATTTTGTAGTTGCAAATTAAGCAGAAAATTAATTGTAAACATGTAATTTTACGTTATATTATAGCCTTAAAATAATTATTATTATACGATACAAATAATGGACATTTTAATATTCTGTATTTAAGAAAGAGACATTAGTCAAGGTGTGAGACAAATCCATGTTTAAACTTATTATTATTTTGTACCTAACACGCGTAATTACGTCGTTTTCTGTAGAAAAGAGTCACATCTGACGGTCCAAACATCAAATATAGCGTTTGGAAAATTATACTTTACAGGGTTACAGGTCTACAAAAATTATGACAACTCGATCTTCTTTTCGGTTGCTGGCCTATGATATTATGGTATGCTTGCTGTGAGTTTAAAACACAAATAGTATTTTTCGGATTACGCGGGTCCTTATATAATATTATGTTTTTTTTTTAATTTGATTCAGTGAATCAAGTTGTTGAATTATAATATTACTATATTACGTAAAGCTATAGAAGGTGTAAATTAACTATTTCATTTTTTAATTTAATTATTTGAAATGATATATTACCATATTGAATTTTTTAGGTTAATAAATTGTTAAAGTTCATATAACCTCTACTATTTCCTCTCACAAATTGCTGCACTATATTAGCATTTTTAGCTCCCACGCATTAATCAGCCATTCTATTTAAAAAACAACCCTAAAAAACCAGTACAGTGGGGTCGGTGCATAGTGGGGACGGAGCATAGTTGGGTCGGGGCATATTGGGGAAGGGGAGGTCACAGGTTTACAGGAATTTTTAAATCTGAAAGTGATAAAATCACTTTCGAAAAAACGCTTCTATGCAAATCGGTAGTTAGTATTTTCAAGCCAGTACAGTCCAAACCAAGCGCAGTATAAACCAGCAAAGTTAGAAAGTTTTAAATGAAGGTTCTGTATTTACAAATGAGCATCAAAGCGTTTATTTGAAAGCCATTTTATTCAATTTTATCACTTTTATTTATAATAATTCTTGTAGACCTGTGACCTCTCCGTTTCCTCATTGCTTTGATTACATTATGCCTATACTCTACTGTACTAGTCCTCTCGGATAAAATCACTTTCAAATTGAATACCAAATGAATATTTCTTATACATTTCAACTCGATCCGACTCTTTTTCTCGAAACTATAGCCAGTAAAAGTTCTAACCTAAAAACTCGTACGGTTTTTTTTTTGTTTTTTCAACTTTCGTCTGTAAAGAATTAAACTTTTTCAACTTTTACCCCTCCCCCCCCCCCCAAAGTACAAACTAGACAAAATTTGTGATATATAGAGTTGCTATTCGAAGGAATTGGTCTAGCATTAAAAAAGTTACAGTGTATACAGCGAAAAAAAAGCCCACATCAGAGTAAAACCAATACCTTCTCGCATTGCATCGAAGCTAAAATGATCATAGTGGCATTTACCTAAGGCTTAAAGTTTCCTAAGTATAAGTAGTATTACCTAATACTATTTTGTTAACCTAATTTTAGCAAGCTCATTGTAAGATATTTAAAAGGCTTTTTTCTTTGTAGCTACGTACCTAACGATAAAAAGTATTGTTGGAATAAAATCCTTATTCAGAAGCGTATCAAATAATAAAAGGGTTGAATAAGTATAACAAATAAAATGTTTAATATCAATTTGTGTACACGTATAACTTACACGACGACTGTCTCCCAATAACAATAATTAAAAACTCGGTGTACACAAAATACAAAATATGTATACTAAGAATTATATCGACCTACTAACTATGTAATATAATATGGTGTTTGGTTTATAATTCCAACAAGTATAACAAAATGTATATTAATTTTATTTATTCAATTATATGAATAAAACATGAAGCTATTATAATGATAAATTTCTATAATATTAAGTTACAACTTTTTAAAATCTGGTAGAATTACTTTATAACTTGTGAAAGAAATTCTTAAGGTATTAGGTACTACTAACAAACCAGAGAAAATTAGTTAAAAATATAAATGTTTACACTAATTTGTAGATCCTAGAAACTTGATCATGTAGAATACATATTTAAAGACATTAGATTATCAGTTTTGTTTAAATATGATACACATAGCTAAATATTAGGTTTGTTAAAACTTTTTATCTTTAGAGGACTTTTCCATTTAAAAAACTATTAACGAATTAAGAATCGACCACATTGTACATATTATATAAATTTAAAAATATACACTAGTTACAGTTTTTAATAAAAAAACGTCTATGTCGACCTTCTAATTACACATGGGGTATACGTGTACTTAATAAATATATACAAAAATATATAAATATTAAAAATAATCATATATAAAAAAATAAAAGAGTAAAATGAAATGGTAACCGTGTCAAATGTAGACGTGTACATGCCAATAGAGAATATTAATTAAAATAAAACAAATAAAATTGATGCACTTTACTCACAATGTAATATAACCAACAATAGATCAATAACATGATTAACATTTAATACAGAACATGACAAACAACCACTATAAACAAGTCTACAGGTTAAAGTGGGGTAAGTCAAACTTAATTAATATTTAAATAATAATTGATTAGGTTTTGTATAAATTATCGACTGAGATTTTCATAATTGTTTTTGTGGACATTTGTGTTTTTTGAGGTTCGATGTTACAGAAAATGACCTCAGGCACACGTTACATCTGTAGGGCTTTTCTCCAGTGTGCACGCGTTGGTGTATCGTGAGGTTGGGTTTTTGAGAAAAAGATTTTGAGCACACGTGGCATTTGTAGGGTTTTTCACCGGTGTGTACTCGTGAGTGTATTGTGAGGTTGCCTTTAAGAGCAAATGTTCTAAAGCACACAGAACAGTTGTAGGGTTTTTCGCCTGTGTGCACGCGTTCGTGTAGTGTAAGCAAAGGTTTTTTAGAAAACGACTTCGAGCACAAATTACATTTATAACGCTTTTCGCCAGCGTGCACGCGATTGTGTCGTTCAAAAAGGTATTTTTGAGAAAATGACTCTGAACACACATTACATTTATAAGGCTTTACACCAGTGTGCTCGCGATTGTGTCGTTCAAAGAAGTATTTTGGAGTAAATAATTTTAAGCACACCGGACATTTGTAGTGCTTTTTACCAGTATGCACGCGTTCGTGTAGCGAGAAAGTGGATTTATCTGGAAAATCCTCGGAACACACATTACATTTGTAGGGTGGTCTGATGTTTCCGGTGTATCCGTTAGTTACTTCATGAGCCGTATGATTGATACTATAACAAAAAAATTGTCGAACATTAAACATCAACGTTTTATAAAATTTTTATTTATTTCTTTAAATTTATATTAATTTAAACTATTTTTGTAACTTTAAACAGTCTATTATTCCTCCAACTATAGCGTGACAGTCCAACTGAACAAGTGCCAGACATCATATTATTATTTCATATAAATATGTGTTTTACTTGTTTTGTTTTATGCTTCAATGCGGATCTCAGAAGGTAATGTTTTTACAACAATAATGTTTTTTTCATTGTCAAGATCCAAAAAAAATTATTAAACTGCTGGACCCATGATTTCTTTGTGTTGCAACTCTATAGCTCAAAAATCGTAACTAAGATACGATTATAAGGTACTTTATTAGACCAAAAATTTGAAAAGACCAATCCTTTCTTCCCCTTTAAAATCGAGAAAACCCCCAAACAAATGTACACATTTTTCAACTTGAAATTACGGTGCTTTATAACTCTTTTTTAAATAGTCTTATAAGTCTAATAAGTTCTAAATTTGTATGAAATATTTTTTTTACTTTAACTACCAATAAACGATGAAAAACCAAATAACATTATGAATTTTCTACCTTACTATGTGTGAGTAAATCAACAGTCAACGGTTATTTTAAAATGTTTTTGTTACATTATTAATTACCTACAATAAATGAGTAACTATGGCAATACAATTTTATTAACACATTATTGTAATTAGGTACAAAGCTTTTATCGATAATTGTATTTTTACAGTTATAGATTCTAATTGGAGCGTTTATTTTATCACTTCAAATATAATTCATATATACTAGATGATAGAATGCGAATTAGACAGTACGTACTTATATAATACGAGACGTAATGAATAATAAGATCAGTTGCGCTTTCATATTAACGAGAGAGCAATAGATAATTTAATATATCAAATCAAAATTTGCCTTACATGAAATTCTTTTCGACGTCTTGTTTTCCATTGCTTTTCTGGTTTGTTGAGTGTGCACTATGTGAATGACTAATATGCTCGGTCATTTTCATTTTGGTCGCAAATGCCTTATTACATATATGACAGACAAATGATAGTACCTCGTCCACATCGTTGTTTGTTGTTTGCACATCTAAATTTACATTTTCTTCGATTTCTATCAAGGACTCATAATAATTGCCATCCACTAGGTCAATTTCTACTTTGACTATCGATTCGTTGCACATTTTTCCTACACTAAAAACAAAAAACAAACAAATAAGCTCAAAACTAAAATAGAAAATAAATTGTGTACTAGTTGCTCTTAGTGAAACTTAAGCTTTGCAAAATTAATATTTACAACAAAACTGATATGAGCAACTCCAAGACTAGGATCAATTTTTATTATAAAGGTGTGCTACACACGTCACTGGATAATTCAAAATAAACAATTGGTTTGTAACCATAGTAAACCGTATGATTCGCATACTCTAAATTCTAAGCATAGCTTCTGCTGGGGGTCCTGTGACCCACACGGCTTTTTTATTGCCCTGTCCGTTATTCCTCTGTGCGTAATGCTTCACTGTTATTACATCATAATAAAAATATAAAATATTTGTATTTTAAAAATCGCATTACTTGTATGAAATCCCGTCATTTTGGACAGTCTCGCCACTATTATAGGATTTTTCAAAGCAAGTTGGACTAGGTTTTATCACTAAAGCTTCGGTAGAGTTTTCTTTCATATCTTCATTTTCTTCATCTATTTTGTTAACAGAACCGTGATAATCATCAGTTTCGTCTATAATTTCAACTTTAATTTTCTTTTCAGTAACACTAAAAAATAAAACAAATTATATATTATTTAATTATAAAAGTTGCAATTATAATAATTTCATTGGGGATGTAGTTAAACCGAACATAGTTCAAGTTTGTTGTTGTTGGTTTATTAGTACATTTAAAAGAAGTCTATAAATTGGTGTCCCGTCAATTCAGCGCAGAAATCAAACACGGTCACTTGTAAAAATGAAGCAAGGCAAATGGTCACAGAACATAAATTTTTATTATTAACATAATTCGCATTAGAAATCCTAAGGGTGCGAAGAATGCTTTAATGCAAAGTCCATCCCAAGGATCAATCCTAACTCTTATAACATTATCATAATGCAATGTATCCATAAATTAAGGTCTATAATCCAAAAATTAATAACATTTGGAACAACGGGAACTTCAGTTGTCGTCTCTAAGGGCTTTACCAATATTTGTATCCTTAAAATAAGCTATGAAGTTGACATGTTTTTTTTTTAATTTACAATAACGGATTAAAAGTTTTACAAAATAACATTAAACCCTTTTTTGTAGAAAACGAACTTATACCAGAAGTTAATCTGATACCTAGCTCTAATATTAATAATATTAATATTTGTAGTTAAAAAATGTTGAGTTATCGACAAATAAAACGTTATATTAAGAAACATTTTTTCTCTTTTTTTGGTGGTTGGCCGTTGGTTGATACAAAAAAATGTAAATCGTGTACATTGTGATGTGTTTCAGATTTATAAATGAAAATGAAAACATTTGTATAGTTGCCCCCCCCCCTCTGTCTCTTACCCAAGTGTTCATTAAACAAATGATTACTTGATACTAAAGATTAAATATTAAACCTATATTAAAATAAACCAATATTAAATGTCATGTAATAAAAAAACACTTCTTTACCTATTTAGGATAAACTACAAAGGTCTAGGAATTCACCATAATATGCCTACTCATATATATATATATATATATATATATATATATATAATATATATATAAATATAATAACTAAGTATTAAACTAAAATTTTAACCCTTGACTGTCCTTAGATTACATAAACTATTATGAAATATATTCAAAACTCACATGATCTAAAAATTAATTTTATGCATATGTAAACATTCAAAATAATCCATATAAAGGGTGCTAATACTAACAGCAAGTTTAAGTTTCCATTTCCCTTTTCAATAATTTATTTAATTTATTTTCTGTTAATCATATATTATATTTGTAAAAAAAAATATGCTAGTAAATATATATTATGTCAACAATGTAAATGTTTTATATTGGAAAATATGCTTTAACCCATTTAAGGAAAATTAAAAATAATTTGCAATAGAATACCACCCTACTGTTATACCGCGTTATGTTAATATTATTTTTTAACAAAATATACTTAAAATGTTCTAATTTGAAAATCACATTACTCATATGTCAATTGTGTTTTAATTGTTGTGGGTTGTCGGACAACTGTTGTACAGTATTAAAATCAAGTTAAGGCACTTTAGATCAAATGTAATAATGAGCAAATCCTATGCACTCTTATCAATATTTGTATCCTCAAATTAAGCTTTGGTGTCAGTCAATATGTATATATTACTGACATAATAATCACAACAATAAATTTATACATAGCTTCAAAAAAGGGAAATATTAATACAAAAAGTTATTAGATTTTTAGGTTTGGCCAAATATTATGATTTCTTAACAGTATGTATTTAAAATATGTGATTTTAAAAATTGTATTACTCGTATACATTCCCGTAGATTGTTTTTTCTGGTATATTCAATTGCTCATTATCTTTTACTATTTCAAATATGGATTTGTAGTAATAATCATCGGTCTCACCAATTTCAATTTTGATTCTTGGCTCGTCTCCTGTTTCAATTAGTCTAAAAAACAAGATACATTTTCAAAAATTAGGTTGTCAACTTTAAATGTTTATTTTAACCTGTCGTTGGTAAATCTATATTGTAGAACACGATTGCTAAACTGTGCGCTGCGCTCATACGTTACTTTTTCCCTTATTATTAATGACTCGATAAACTCAGAACATTGAATCATACAAAAAAATATGCATCTTTTAACTCACTATCAATTGGTAATATATTATTTGTAATTACTATTATTACAAAATTAATAAAAATAAAAAACCGAAATTTTTTTTTTTTTTTTAAATTGTGTAGTACAAAATAATAAAAGTTAATTAAATAAATGTAAAAAAAACCTAAAATGTAAATTTAATGATTTAAAATAATTAAGCTGAGTCACTTTTTGAGGAGATTGCATGTTGCTCTAGGATACACAATAATATGTAAAATGCAGTTGATAAACTGTGGCTTCTTTTTTTTTATTATTATTTGTAAACTTATTATTGAAGGTAATAATAAAATCAAGCCAATTAACAAACATTTATACAACTGGCGTTCAAAACGTTATCTGTGTGAGCGCCGCGCTTACATGTTTACCAACGACGGGTTAAGTAAAGTATTAAACTACAAGTATTTGCCTTCTATTGTAAAATCTGTTGCACTTTTGTTTAATGAGACAAATTAATTTAAGTATAATAAAATAATATTAAAAACCTATATTGTTTTTTTTCTATTTCGCATAATGCTAATTTTGCCATATTATGTATATTGTAAAATATTATTCCTTAAAGCACATAGTATGGAAAAGTAAACACTAAACACTTTAATAGTAGCATTGAGTATATATTGTATATATAATATATACTCAATGATAGTAGGTATTATTTTATTATTAACATTGAAATTGTTTGGCTGGTCTGCACAGACATTGAATGTTATGATGCAAAATTACATACACCTAATATTTGCCATGAAATGCCTATCGATATCTTAACAATGTTACTACCATTTTTGAACAAAATTTACTTCATATTTTATTATTATAAATCACATTACTTATAAGCATCCCCGTCAATATTCTTTTGAGAAATGTTGTTGGTCGTTGGACAACTCTTGTTTGATTTTTCAAGGACTTTTGGTTTTGTTTCTTTCACTAAGATTCCGGGAAATTGATCTTTTAAATCTGCATTTTCTTCCTCTATTTTAATCACGGTATCGCAGTTATAATCATCCATTTTAATTGAAATTCTTAGCTAGTTTTTCACTTTATAAACTCTAAAACACAAAGCATATTGGCAAAAATTAGGACAAAAACTTATAATTAATCTATCAAAATAACTATAGGTGGAGTTTAAGCATATTTAAATGAATCATAAGTAAAATCAGGCGTCTTAGTAAAAAAAGACACTAGAGGTTTTACGAGCAACATTTTTTTATTGGTTGATTATATGGATATGATCTTTTAATTTTAGTTTTTAAATTCAATAAGTATTTTTGGAAGGGTTTAAGTAAATATCTTGAGTTGAAACCGCCTAATGTAGGCGCACAAGCTACTAAATCTAAGGTAATGAAATAACAACAAACGGTTTTTTAATTCTCAATGTTGTACATCGATTCAGTAGTTTAGGTGCATTTGATTAAAATATGGGAAAAAATTAATTTTTTCCTTGTAAAACAAAAATTGTGAATTAACTATATAAAATGGCAAAAAATAGATATTGAAAAAAACCCAGTATATCATTCTTGACACAGAGTTTGAACTTTCATGAAGAAAACAAGCTGCTGTAAAAGTATCAAAGTTTAACTATTTTACAAAACGCACATTACATAGGAAAAAAATAATAATTCTTCTTGTTAACAAATAAATAGAAAACCTTTACAATGCGTTATTCGAGGTCATTAAGTCAATTTACAATAGAAAAAGGTGGCACCTGGTGCGCTGCTATGAAATATTATTAGTTAACTATTTATTTTTATAGATTATATAATATCAATATTGTATTGAACAACAATACAATTTTCTTAAGTATTTAACCTTTAAGTTAGTAAATCTTTACTAATAAAACAACTCTCTACGCCTGCTGGCTTCAGGAGCCGATTCGAGCCCGTTCGGCACTCTTTGCTGGATGGGAGCTCGCGCCCCCACTGGAAAAAAAGCTTGCTTTAATAACTAAACTAACCTTACCTACCGCTTAAGAAGCAACAGCGACCTAACGAGACCTAACCTAGCCTGACCTATCCTCGCGTTGCAGACAAAAGTATAGTACGGTAACGGGCAGCTGCGGCCAGCGGCCATAGCTGCAACCACTAGCCGCTGCCTCAGTCGCCACCTATATAAGTAGCTAAGTAGCTAAAACTTTATAACTACAGGATTCCGCCAATTTTTTACTACAGAATCGTAATCAGCATAAAAAATGATACAAGACGGTTATAAAAAATCGCAAAAAAAAGGTTGCCCGGTTAGGTGATTAATGCACAATGAAAATGTCTGTCGGTACTTACTTTTATTCAGCTACTATGAGGCCGTTCTGAGGCTATGATCTATGGACGTATAACACAATTATAAAATTAATTAATTTATGTTTTTTTTATAATAGCAAGTACCTGTCAACAATACGCAACGATATAACTCTGCGAAATAACAGTAACTATGGCTTTAGATCAGACATAAACAAATTACGGACAACAATCTACTATAATCTTTATGGATAAATGATAATGATGTTTATGCGTGTGCGACAAATAATAATGGCCGCCAGCAGGCTGGAGGTAGAACGGAGTGAAGGTAAATGCTATCAATTAGTTCTAGTTTCTACCACCAGGTGGCCTTGGCATCCTCTGCTGTTGTCACATAATGCACACACAGCGTTATTTGTGATAAGTGCATTTTTTTGTTGACGTCTGTAACATTTTTGTGTATCCGGCATCCGCCCAAAGTGACTCGGATTTATTTAAAAAGTTGTATTGTTGAGTTTCTACAACGTATGAACGTTATGTGTGTGATTTTCTACCTATTTTTTATGTCTAAGAAGCAAATCATTGCAAGTAGCTTTTTAGTCCCATTGTAGTTGTTTAATAGTAAGTACCGAGAAATATTATCATTAATTTTACAGTTCCATTTGTTTTAATAAATTAATAGGTAATCTACAGTTTACGGGTATTAATATGGATTTATTAAAAAATTCAAATTGATTAGCTTTTTAAATGTAAAGACTTAAAAAGTGTGAAGCGCTATCAACAGGGACAATAACACTAATTTACAGTAATATTGTACAACAGATGGCATTACTTTTTTCTAATGTAAATTAACTCGCTGAACTCGAAAAACACATTAAAAAAATAATAATTGATAAGTAGTGAATCACCATATAGGTAATATTTTTGTTAATTATGAGTTCTAATACAATTAGTGATAATAACTTATTGTTGATGTACTGTTCGATTTGATCTAAAGTTCCTCTTTAAGCTGTCGATGTGTTGATGTCTTGTTACCAATCTAGACAATTCATTAGGTTTATATAATTAATAAAAATTCAACACCAATCGTCATGATAGCAAGAGTCAAATGATATTCATTATAGTAGCACTGGTTTAATTAAAAATGTTATCCCTAATTTACTAATTCAGGATTTTGTTAGAAGAAAGTAAATATACGATATTTGCTTTCTTAACAAATATAATCTTATGTTTACCAAAAAATAAAAAATATCTTAATTAATTATTAAGAGCAAAATTGAATTACATTTTAATTTATTGGTGAAGTCTAACAGTGATTAGTAAAAGATAAATCATGAGATCTTATGTTACTTTTGTAAAATGTGCCTAACCTAACCGAATAACATTAAAAAATTGTACAACTTTTGTTTATTAATTAATTTAATAAGTATGGTTTATATTTACTGAGTATAAATAATTAAATTTTCTAAAATTTTAATTATTTTTCCCTATAAGCAAGCATCGACCTACTTCTAAAGATGCGGTTCTTTTAAAAATCTAGGGCTTATTTTTATTAAAACATCTTCCTTCAGTCATATTTCTTTTGAATATGTTTAAACTCAGGCTTAAGTCATTTTGATAGATTAATTATGCGTTCTTATCATAATTTTTGAAAGTATGATTTATGTTCTAGAATTAAAGAAGTGAGAAACTAGCTAAGTATCAGAATTAAAATGGATGTTTATTGCCGCAAGACTGTGATCAAAATAGAAGAAGAAAATGAGGATACGAAAAAACAATTTACCGGAGCCTTAGTGAATAAAACAAAACCGAATAACATTAAAAAATCATACAAGAGTTGTTCGACGACCTACAACAATCCTCAAAAAAAAATTGACGCAGATGCATATAGGTAATTTTATTTATAATAATACAATTTTAAGTAAGTTTTGTTCAAAAATGGTAGTAACATCGTTGAAGTACTGATAGGCATTTCATGGCAAATAACTAGGCGTATTTTGCTTAAATAGGTTAAGAAATATTTTCCAATAAAAAACAGAATGATATTATAATTATATTTCATAATATTCTAATGTTTTGCAGCATACTAATGGTGTTAACACTAATAGTATGTAATTTTTTCTGACAAACCACAACAATCCTCAAATAAATATTGACTAGAACGCATAATATAAGGAATGTGATTTTTAAGTTAAATATCGGAAATACATTTTATTAAAAAATAATAATTAAAATAGCCATAGGGATTTCATGGCAAATTATTAGGCGGTTGTAATTTTTCTTAAAAAAATAAAAGTACCTAATATAATTTTAATACGTTGCATATAAATACATATATTTTTTAAATATAAATTTTTTTTACAAATAATCTATAAAAACCATCTTTTTTATTTTCATTTAAAGAGAAAAAATCAAATAACTGGTCAACACCCTTCAATAAACGTTAAAGCTGTATCATTAAATTGACGATTATTATTGTCAATAATTCTCTATGGGCTTTCACTTAAATAATATAATAGATAATAATAATATTTTACTTGTTTTTCCAATATTCTAAGTATTTAATTTATATAAAAACATTAAATATTATAAAACTAAAAAAAGTGGGATCTCTAGGTTTTACGTCTATGAAAATTATAATAATAAAAAAAAATTTTCTTTGAAAATAGGAGATATACGATGAGCACAATTCGACCATTTCAATTGTACTCATTATTACCAGCGACTAAAAGTACCGCCTTTTGATTTTCAGGCTTCATTGACATGGCACAAATTCATAGAAATTAAAGTGAGAAAATGAAACCTATAATATTTTGAAAAACATATATTTAAAAAAAAAATATATATTATATTTTGAAACATAATATATTTATATAAAATTTAAAAATAACACTCGTATATCAGAATGGTATTCATGATATGTGATAAAACATTATTAACATAATTTTACAAACTTTTTATTTCACTGGTAGTAGCTAGTGCATAATTGAATTGTAAAATGTTTTGCTCGCAGATGACGTAGCAGATATTTTCTATTAAATGTAATTAATATAGATATTTTTTTGTTCTTAGTGTCGGAGAACCGTACAACAAAACAATGTTCAACGTCGAAGTGGACCTAGTGAATGGACATTATTTTGAGTCGACGATTGAAGTTGAAAAAAATAGTTTTTTAGATGTGCAAACAACAAACTACGATTTGGACAATTTGGACAAGATACAGTCATTTATCTGCGATATATGCCAAAAGTCATTTTCTACAAGAAAGAGAGTTTCCCGGCACATTACACATTCACACAGTGCACACTTATCAACCCAGAAAAGCACTAAAAAACAATTCGTCAAAAACACTTTTATGTAAGGCTAAGTTCTTTTTGATATATTAGATTACCAATTTTTTTTTTTTGTTATAATGAAAACGCATGTATTCATAACAACACATATTACATAAGGAGATACAGTCTTTTTTCAATTCTTTATTAATTGATAAAAAGATCTTATAACTATTTTGATTAATTTCAATTTTGAAAAACGGAATATATTTATACATATAAAAATTATAGAACTTTTTTGAAAACAGAACATTTTTCCATAAAATGTATATAAATGTTGATATCAACATCCACATAGCTGGATGAATCAAATTTATGAAGCAGGACTGTTTAGCTATAAATAATATATGTTATATTTATATCAAATTGTGAGATGAATATATTTTTTAATACATTATTGTTAATTGTTCGTCAATGTTTTGTTGTAGTGGTGTCAATCGTATGAGAAATGAAGACCATAAAAAACCTGCTGGTTGTTATTTCGAATCTGGGATTGGAACAGATAACAATAAACAAACAGTACCGAATAGTAGCAATGAAGATATAACAAAACGGTCATTATTCCAGTGTAATTTATGTCAAATGTCGTATAACACTAAAAAGCAAATATCTTTACATATCATGAAATACCACAAAAGTTCGACGAACAAACACTCTCCTCGAAAACCAAACACTGAAATTCCCAATAAGTTTTCTGCAGGAAGCACAAACATCAACCGTCCTTACAAATGTGCGGTGTGCCTAAAATCGTTTTTTCAAAATTCCCACCTCACAGTACACCAACGCGTGCACACTGGCGAGAAGCGTTATAAATGCGATATATGCTTAAAGTCATATTCGTCTAAAGCCTACCTAGAAGTACACGAACGTGTGCACACTGGTGAAAAACCTTATAAATGTAATCTGTGTTTAAAGTCATTTTCTGTAAGATGCGCTCTTACGGTACACACACGCGTGCACACTGGGGAAAAGCCCTACAAGTGTGACGTGTGTACAAAATTATTTAACCAAAAAGGCCACTTTGAAGAACACAAACGCGTGCACACTGGAGAGAAACCCTACAAATGTAATGTGTGTTTAATGACATTTTCTGTAAAAGCCACTCTCTCAAAGCACAAACGCGTGCACACTGGAGAAAGGCCATACAAATGCCACGTGTGTCTAAATTCATTTTCTCGAAAAGCTCACCTAACAAACCACGAACGCCAGCATACTGGGGTAAAGCCCTATAAATGTGGCGTGTGCCTTAAGTCGTTTTCTAATAAAGATCTCCTAAAACTACACTTACGCGTGCATACTGGCGAAAAACCTTATAAATGCGTTGTGTGCTTAAAGTCGTTTACTCAAAACGCCCACCTTAAAACACACGAACGTTTGCACACAGGAGAAAAGCCCTACAAATGCGATGTGTGCTTAAAATTATTTTCTGATAAATCTGCTCTCACACATCACAAACGCGTCCATACAGGTGAAAAACCCTACAATTGCGATGTGTGTTCAAAATCATGTTCCCAAAAACATGACCTCGCAAGACACAAACGATTGCACACTGGAGAAAAACCCCACAAATGTAACGTGTGCCTAAAGTCATTCACAGTAAAATCCTCTCTTACACAACACAAACGCGTGCACACTGGAGAAAAGCCTTACCAATGTAACTTGTGCCTTAAGTCATTCACTGTATCATCTAGCCTCAAAAAACACAAATGCCAATAAAAACAAGCTTGAGAACTTCGGTCAGTAGTTTTAATAAAACCTAAACAATTATTAGTTTAAATGTAATATAAATTCGACTTTACCCTGTAGACTGAAGTTTTTAGTGATTGTAAACATGATTTATTTACATTATAAATGTATTATTAATTATTGTTATTAGAAACCTAGTATTTTTTTTTTATTTTTATAATATTTTTATTCTTGTTTTTAAATTATAATTACAAAATTTTGTATTATTCATTTAAAATTGTTGTTAATCTATATAATTATTTTTAACACCATGCAGGTGCCATCGACAAAGGTATCATGTTGATGTGACAATGTCTCGCTATGGAGTCCTATCTAGCGATTTATCCCCTACCAATTAAGCAGTCGCGTATTTCGACTTAATATCAATTGAAGCTAAAACCAGGAGAGAACACGGCTCTGAATGGTTTTTCTTCATTCGGTTGGAAGGAATGGTAGGAGACATTATTTTCCTTTAAGTATTTAATTACTGTTCTGTAGGAATCGGAACTGTACGTTTGCATTCTGACGCCTTGAGTTGAGCTTTTACATACGAAGCTAGTAGGGGCAATTAACACTTTCATTTTTTTCACAAAATTGAGTGAAGTTTATTGGTGTCTGGATAAATATGGGAGGCTGATTAGGTGGCTTAATTTTAATGTTATCCACGTTAGAATGTTCATTGACTACCATAGGCTCGTCAGTTTAAGGTTCGATAGGAGAAAAGCGATTTTGCGAGACAAAAATATTATTATTAGTATCTCTTTTTGATTTTGGAGAATTGAGATTTGGGGATCTTACGCGTTTGTTATCAATTTTTTGCCATTCCTCATCATCATCGGATATGTCTGACAACGACGAATTTTTAGCTTGGCGGCTTGTAAAAGTACTGTTTGCTGAGGATAATATTGGTAAAATCGTTTTAATAATGGAGCTTTGCGAATAGCGAGATGATGTGGTATTGCTATTAGACATAGCGGAGAGGAGGAAGAGCGGCAAGACCGGTTCGAGAGGGGCCCTTGACCAGTTGTCAACCGCGTTGCGCGGTTTTTGTTATGCACAATACTTATCAAACAACTAAATGTAATATGTGCTCTACATAATCTAAAGATGTGCTACATGAAATACTTTGTTGATTTCTCAGGTTGTTGTTGTTGTTGTGCTGCCCCCCACTCCTCCTCCTTTTATTATTTTAAGAGTATTTTATCTTAAATTATTATACAAATACAGGATAAGACATTTGTTTTAGTGCATTATCCTAAATGAATCGCTCTATATTATTTAAAAAAATTATAAAATATACACACTATCATTTAAATAGTCTAAGTACTTAAAGTTTTAAAACTTAAGGGTAGTCGAAATGAGACAGTCTTGATATTTATATAAAAAACATACAACTACGCAGTATTTTTTTTTAACCACAATAATTAAAAAATGCAATACCGACTTTTGGTTGTAGATTATTTTGTAGTTACAAGTTATAGCAATAGGCCTGTAGCCTTAATGACCATAGCAATGTAAATAAATGAAAAATTTGTTTTTCAAACCCGACTTAATTAGTGATATGCATTTTTTATTAAACTTAAAATATAACAAAGAGAGCAAAAGTTTGATTTTTTTTAAAACAAAACTTGAAAAGTCGATCGAGATAAGTTTTTATTACGTGAATGTATGAACAATTCCTTTGTGAATAACCACTGATGCCAACATGTATAAAATCACACATGTTGTTATCTACAAAAGCCAACATTTTTTTTTGTTTTACACTTGTTTAAGATAAAAAATTAAATATTTGATGCTCATAAATATTATACGTTTATCGATAAATATATAATATAAAAACGAGTAAATAATTTGTATTATGTAAACTTTTTTTCTTGAACTAGGTAGTCTATCCTATATGTGAGCCAATTTGTATAGCAGTAAAAAACTTGAGTCGAACAATATTCTTTTTTATTTATGTGTGAACACACGAAATACTATGTTCACCATATAACGTTTCAAAAGCATACACGGTCACGATGAGAATGGTTTATTTACATATTGTGTTTTTAGTATTGGCATGTGTTTTGGTGAACACCTAGGTTTTAAAAATACACAGACAACCGGTGCTATACACAAGAACTATGACCGATTTAAAGCGCGATTTCCGCTTGTAACAGAGAAACCTCGTCATAGTTAATGGATATTGCTTAGCCCCTAAACTAATATCATGATTTTTCGAACTTATTTTTTGTTTCACTAAGCAATATTGTACACAGAGTTTACGAAAAGCTTTTGTTGGAATTTCATCACTTAATTCTTTATACAAATCTTAAATGATTGCATTTATTTATAATTCATAAGATCTTTGTCACTTAGAGGCCGTCGCGTCGTTCATATTTGACTTTGGCATCATTACATCTAACCCATTGGTTTCCATGGCAAACAAAACAAGAATAATTGGCAGAAATCATTTAGGAACTTTGTGTACAGGAATAATACAATTTGTGTGCTCTATTAAATTCTCACTCATTTTACTACATTATACACAGATTTGTATGAAATCAATATGTCTTATACTCCTCACTGAAAATGTATTTTTATAATTTCTGTTAATAGTGTCAAACTGTTTTCAGATCATACTTTGATATAAAAATATCCCATATTCGCCCAGCGTCCTATGTGTAGGACACCAGTTTTTATGGTCTGTATCATAACTGTTCATTTATATCAACATTGTTCAACTAAAAAATAAAGTTGGACATAAATTATTTAGTCAACCGTTGTAATAACGTTAATATTTTAATATTATTCCCAAATTCTTATCAATTTATAAATTATAGATGATATTTTTTTAAAATCCTAAAATTTTATACTTATAATGTTTTCGAATCGACCACAAACATTTTTTTAATCGATAATATTTCTAAACGGCAAAGTGGGACAGGGATGGTAAATTATTTACACTAGCATACATTATACTAAAATGTACAACATTTAATAGAAAATTATAATTATTTAAAAAGGATAACAATTTTCAAAAAGGAATCAGGAAAAAAGTTTAAAAGCCTAGGATAAAAAACAAGAAAGTTAGCAATTTCACAACAAAATATGAAAACAAGCAATATTATAAATCAATGCCCAATTAGTATTTTTTTTATCAAAACAACATATTTTTTATAACTACTTTTTTAAACTAGTACTAAAACTAGTTTGTTTGAATTTTAAAACCAAAAAAAAACATAAAGTATGTGAATAGGCTTTTTTAGGCTTTAGACTTGAGTATTATGAACATATTATATTTTGCGGTTTTGGTATAAAAAATATATATATATATATATATATATTATATATATCATTTACATACAAATAAAAATCAAGTAAGCATAGTTTAAATGAATTAGAATTAAAAAGAGTAACAGTTACAGTACAAATTCAAAAAAAATATATATTAATCATGTAATTTTTGTCTTTTATTTTGCAGTGGAGGCTGTTCCTCGATGCTTAGATTTTTAATTTTACGGATAGTATGGGGTAGTATTTTAGGTGCTGTATCAAGTGGAAACCCAAAGTCATCGTAATTAGACACCATCGTAATTTGTCTGCTTCTTGTATAAAATTGTTTTTCAGATTCCACAGCGTGACTTTAGCGTTTTCCTCTAAAAATTTGTTCTCGTTGATCAAATACCTGGGGAAACAATTTGGCTCGTAGAATTTGATTAAGCGTTTTTAAATATATTCGTCATGTTGGTTTCGACGTCTAGATTTCCGTGGATAAATTCGCTGCCAATTGTTTCGTTGCATAATATTTTTGAGATTGGAAATAAGTTTTGAAGGCTTCCAATGTGTCGGAAACGTCTCTGTTGTATTTAATGTGTGGAGATGACTGATGGAAATACGAAAGAGCATCTTGCATACGCGAGACCAACGGTTTGCTCATCAGAATTAAATTCCTGAACTCTTCCCAGTAGCTCGGTGAATTGGTCAAATGCAAAAACGTGCTGCTATTGTACTGTTTCCATATGAGTCTCGCGTAGTCACAACATCTTTTTAACGTTAAAGCATATTTGCAGGGGTCAAAAAATGGTGTGCTCGACCGACTTTTTTGTCTACATTTCCTTTGTGGCTACTAATTTTCCATCGACACTGACCGTTGTCAAGTTGTTGACTTTGTAAAACTTTTTCTTCACTATAATTTCTACATTACCCAACGACGACCAAAACGATCCAAAAAATCAGACAGCTGGTTTATTCTCCTACATGTAGTGCCCATGCCCTTCTCGTACTCGCCGAATCCTTTCAACACTTACAGCATACTCACAGCTCAAAAACCGGTACGCTTGTCGAATTTTATAATCTACATTTTCGTTGGTAACTATCCGCCCGTTATCGCTAGGGCCGAGCAAGTAATTTGCATCGAATTTTTCACTAATGGGTCATCCAGTGGTCAATTATACATGCTTTATCTGTTTTGTGCCAGTCAAGCCGTCCGGGATGAGTAAACATATCGTTCATCACTTTCACGCGAAACTCGGATTGTGCATTCGACACAAACATTTGCATTTTAATAATTAAAAAAACCGAGTAAATAAGTTACATGCATTTTTTTTTTATTGGATTTCAAATATAACAATGAAAACAATTTTTTTTTTGCAATACAGAGCTTGAGAAGTCAAGATCAAGATACGTGTTCAGTACGCTCAACTGTATGAAATACTGTTTACATATTAAATAGGTATAGAACAAATGTTTCATAGCGAACAACCGTTGCTGCCGACTCATTATTTTCATCAAAAATTATTTGTTTATTAAAAAATCACATATGTTGTTTTTTTTTTTTACAAAATTGCAAAATTCTATGTTGTTTACAACAAAAAATTGGATGTTTCATACCTAGAACATATTATACGTTTATCGATAATATATATAAAAGTATAACGAGTAAATAAAATATTTAAGGTGTATCATATATCTGCAAAATAAAAAACATTAAGAATAAATTTGTAAATTTGTAATTTAAAAAAACTAAAGTAAAATATATCTTAAATTTAAAAATATTAAGACGATACTGTTATAACGAATTTCACTCAAGTTTTAATATTTTATTATTGAAATTAATATTATGGTTATTCCTCGATATATAAACTAATTAGCAGAGGTTATTATAAAGTTTTTATAATATTCCTTTAAAAATTTAGCTACTATTAAGCTATAAAATTAAACCTATATACGAATATACGATAAGTGTATATACAAATGCATACTGTTTATCAGCTTAAAGACAATTTTTATTTGTGAATTATTCATTTTATGACTTCAGTAAAAATACTTGTCTGATTTATCATACAAAAAAATGATTAACTCTTTCAGACCTTGATTTAAATTTTTGTTTATTATTTCATCATAATATGTACTAGTAGTACTTTATACTTAAGTAAAACAAACATTTTGTTTAAAAAATGAATTACCTAATCGGTTATTAGTTTGTCCCCCGTGATAAAATGTCAGTACTATTGAGGAACGAGGAAAGAATTGTTTATTTTTTTACAAGATGAACATGAACTAGGTAATTTTTCAAAGCAATTTCTTAAGAACTTTATACTTGTTTGTGTTTTACAACATAATTTACAGAAGTATCCAAGTGTTTGAGTTCACACTGATATTTAAGACTTAACCATATATAAAGTCTATCAGGATTAGGATGTGTGTGTCATAGTTATGACCGCTGCACCAACTATACTTAAAATTTGGGTAGTTTAACAATACCGAAACTATAGGTTAAACTCTACTTAAACTTTTAGGTATAGTTGATGCAAACGGCCATTAGTCTGTTGTAATTCTACAGTGCAGTTGAACATTACTGTACAAATAGACTACTGAACACCTGCACACATTTGAAAAAATAGTAAATTCTTGTAAAATCACAAATGTTGTATTTAATACATACATTTATAGGCTTATGATTGCAAAAACAATATTTTGTTCTAGAAATTATTATGATATTAAATGGTAAAAAATTGAATGCTTCTGATGATGTGATGTATTGCTTTAGCTCATGTAAATTGTCAATCAAAACAAAATAAGTATAAAACATTTTAATATTATCGTTTCTTATCATGAAAAGTTTTTGAAAAATGTATGCAATACAATTATTTATTACGGTTGTTGTAATTGGAAAAATAAAATTTTTATAAAAATACAAAATTGACTATTTTCAAACAAGTTATAGCACGCCATAATTTGAAGTTGAAAAAAGATTGAACTTAAGCTTAAGCTATTCAATCCACAAGGATGACATTTCTTTAATATATTTATTACCAACTTGCAAACCTAAAACAAGATTTTTTTTATTATACACACAAGTCTGCCACTTGAAAAATAATGTAAATAAGGTGTGACAGTTTCGTTTTTAGTTTACTTTTTTTATTATTTTGTTAAAAATCCAAGTCGATTTAAACCAATAATCAATTTGCTAATTTGACGACTAAAAGTTATTATTTCACAACATTGCAACGATATTGTTACGTTTAACGTAAAACTCGTAGACATAAATTTTTAACATAAAAAAGGTATTTATACACTTCAAAAAAAAAACTAATAAAAGTAATACTGGTAATAATGATAAAATGTTTTTTTTTTAAGCAGCTTATAAAAATATATCTAAAGAAAAATATTAATTATTTTTAGAAAAAAATTAGTTATGAAACAAAACTAGAAAAATAAATCTTAAAAGCTAATAATATAAATGTACAATAAGGCTAGTAAAATTGAAATATTACAACTCAATATAAAATTTTAAAACTTAATGTGTACAATATTATGAGTAAAAATTCCAAGTGCAGAATTTATTTTATTAATTTGTAATAACAACAACTGTTCGCTGTTAAAAACAATAAAAAATACAATACAAACCATTAAAATATATTTTTCAGGATGACATGCATACAAGTATTACAGTTATAGCAAAACAACTTTTTTTTTTATAAAAATCAGAAATAGCCAAAATTGACATTCTTATTAACGAATAATTTTTTTTAAAAACAAATTTTTATCTAAAATAATTTGGTAGTTAAAATGGTAAAAAAAAAATCTAGCAATTATGTAACAAAAATAATACTAATTAATCATGCAATTACCATATTTTTCAGGTTACCCCCTAATTAAATCTTAATACAAATATCATTCTAGATTTCAATTATATTACAAAAAATATGAAGCTTAATTCAAACGTCGTTCGAGTTCGAAGGTTAAGAGTAAAATTTTAAGCTTGTAAAAAAAAAAAACTTACATAAAAAAAAAGGTTTAAAAAAAGTATTGTACACAATATTTACATACTATTTCAACTTCACAACGTAAAACTATTTTTTGAAATTACTCTTCAAAAAGAAATTATGTACAAAATAACAATTACAAAAAATTTAACGCGACAAATCTCTTTTTTCGAGTATTATTCATAAACGGTTCACATAGTCAAAGTCTATGATGATGATACTACCTAATAATAGTTACATTTGATCATTGGTATCTTCTTTATTTGTCAGTGGCCGACAAAATAAATTTATACATATATTCCTGGCCCACAGTTTGATTTCAGGTGTGCCCGTTAGCTGTTCTAAATCTTTTTTTTCTATCTGAAATGAGCCAATAAAATTTTTTATAAGGCGATACTTGTTTTGAAATATTTACTCTTGCGTAACCCGACAACGACTTACACTTTTTACTATGATGTCGTACATGGTTGTATCGATTTTTTTCGGATCGCTTAGTATCCATAACAGTTTCATAGCCAATATTTGTATCTCGTTGTTATAGAAGGCTTTGCACGGGTTGCATACAATGTCGTTTCGCATCATCGACAGCAGTTGATCATCACGGAAAATATTTCTACTTTCCACCTCGAGCGCCAAATTGTACAATGACACGTAGGCCATTCTTAAAAAAGGTCAAAACACATAAGATAGAACGATAAACTTTCATCATAAATAATTAAAATAATACACACCTTTTTATATGATATCTCGAAGGATCGACGGCCGATACAAGACGACAAATTTCTTTAACAACCTTTCGACCTTCTTCGGTTTCTGAGAAAAACACGCTGCCGATTTTAAACGCCGTTAAATTACTAACGATTCCCAAAATGTACAAGACAAATTTGTATTGGTTGGTTTCTTTTTCACACGCTGTATTATTTTTCAACGACTCAACGAACGATTTTAACGTCAACTCAAAAATTTTTGCCAGATAAAATTTGTGGTTCTATTAAAAAACATTGTCATTGATGGAATACTAACCAGTCTCTATAAGTAAAAAAAAAAAAACACCAACACTTACTTTTGTATTTAAGATCATACTAATTATGTCGTAATGCGTGCTGGGTTTCTGCGTTTTGTCATCCATTGTGGCTCGCCATAAAAGATATCCAAATGTGCTTTTAATCAAAGAACTGAGTTCGGATTGACTTTGTATTTTCAATTTGAATTCCTGTACATCATTGTTTTCATTGATAGTACATATTTTCACTGGAATTGGTGTCTGTTGTTGTGCATGGCTGACAGAATTTATATTTTCAATATCTAGCAAAAATAAAAAATTCATAATATACACATAGTTGTACCAACATAAATTACCATTAAAATATAATACAATATAGTACCAATTTGGTTATTTATTCTGATGGTATTTTGTTTTCTTAATTATAATTTATTACAATTTTATTTTTATTCAATTACCTAGATACTGTGTTCTAATGATTTATTAGTCTTAAAAATATTATATAATTGTAAAATAAACAAATGGTCAACACCAATGGCCAATCAGACAAGGGCAATAGTAAATTAACATGATATGTTAAATTCAAAATACATTTTGTTGATTATTATTTTACGACAAATAATACAACTCTAAACTTAGTACTTTTAAAAAATAATGTACCTATTTAAGATATTTTATTTATAAATATACTAATTAATTGACGATTTTTCAGATTTCTGTACATACCCAAGCAATAATTAAAAAAGTAGGTAGGTACTATATTACTAAGTAAACAGTATAATTATTGTTTATAAGTAAATTTGTAAGTTTCTAATGAAATCTATAAAAAAAATGGTTTTTTTTTTGCTGTGCAAAAGTAGATTATCATAATTAGGATTATATATTGAAGTAAATAACGAAAAACAAATTTTCTTTTTTGGGTTGTAATAATTAATGAGAAAAAAAAATCGAGTTTGTTAAAACTCTATTAGCGAGGTATGAACTATCGTTATTATTATTATTTAACTTTTAAATCTCAAATTTCTGTGTAAATTGCAGGAAAAAAAGAGTAATTAATTTGGAAAAAATTACATTTGGTAAAAAATTTAAATAGATATTTATTTGAATTAAATTACTTGATTCGTTTACTGGCTCCATCTCGTTGGTCGTTTGTATCGATTTTATTAATATTATTATAGTTGCTTATTGTTGAAACAATTGAAAATATAAATTTGACTATTAAGTGTTGTCTGTTCTTCGATTGAAAAAATTTGGAAATTGGCGACTCTTAACGTTTTTCTTGTTGACCCACAACTGACGACCACCGTCTTTGTTTTCAAACAAAGAAACGGACAATGCGATTTCTTATCATATTATTATTGTTTAACATCATCGATTATTGTGTCAAATACTGGATAAAAAAAAAAAAAACTAGAAAACCGCCAAAACAACAAATATTCTACATAATTTGAATTGGGCGGTATAAATAAAATTTATTATTATCGCCTAGAAAAATAATTTATACTAATAATTGTTGGCTGTAAAGATTTCAAAAATAAAATGAAAAAAAGATATCACCGCCAATTATTTTTGTCTAATGTCAAACGCTAAAAATTGATACCTCTTATCATAATTAATTTTGTTTGTAATAATAATAATATTGTTTCGGCACAAATATATTTTGAATTTATTGCACGTTTTAAGAACAGAATACCTATTTCTCTTGAACTTTTCGTCAAAAAAATACAATATTTAAAATGAAACCCTGCCGAATAGTTTACATGTACAATAATGTTATAATATACGTATAATATCGTTTTGTCAACCATGCTTTGGCGGCCAGCATTATGTTTTATGATATTTTATTAATTAGTAATAACCATACGGTAAACATTTACGGCTTGTGGGTTCAGGATTATTTTTATTATTGTAAAATATTATAATAATTATTATTATAAAATAATATCTAATGACTTGCGTTGTGCATAACAAATATCCAAGTTTGACATAAAAAATTGTCTTCTTTTTGGACATGAATAAAGTATATTAATAAATAAATACTATACAATTTGCCACCCTAGGCAGCCGCATTATAATAATTAATCAATTAATCAATAACTTTTTATAAAGATTTTTCAACGCAAATATGTCTTGACAATTGCGTAGTCTATTATTGATTGTTATATTTTTTTTAGTAAAAATTCGAATATTATGTTGTAGATTATGAGTAGGTAATATATTTTGCCAAGTGGTTTTCTACAAAAAGCGAATTGTTGGTACAAATAAACAATAAAACATATTTTTACTTCAACCCTATTTTAATAAAAAAAAAAACAATTTTCCGGTAGGTATAGATTTGAATAGAACATTTTTGTGGCAGTATAACCTTAATTTCGATTTGTATTACCTCAATATTATCTTTTTTAAGTTTTATGCAGACACGCAGTGCAGTAAGAAATGTTCTTAACAGTCATTATTTTTAATATCACAAAATCAATTTGTATTGACTATAATAGGTAAGATATAGTTAAAGCTGTTGGCTCAGAACGATTTTGTGTATTTTGTAATCAAGGTTTCCGGCCGGGCAAAAAAATAATCTACAAAATCGCCAAGCCTTAATAAATAACACAAAACTGCAAAATTAAAAATGGGAACCAATTTCAATACAACAGATTTTTTATTTGCAAAATGGCCGGTAAGTTATACAAAAGTGATCATTTTTGTTAGGGTAGGGAAACGTTAAATGCCATCTTACCCCACCCCAATTTTCTCTCTTACTCTTCTACCTCGTATCCTTCACCAACACCACAAAGTCTAAAAATCATTATAAGTGTTTTGGCGTTTAACTTTGTTGTAAAAGTATTTTTTAATATGATAATGTTGTTAGGCTGGAGGGCAACTAAGAAAATTCTTGAGATTTTATTGTGATAATTGATATTTAATAGTTTTTCTTTTTGAAAACGTTTTGGTTTATGCTATATTACAATAAATATTAAACGCAATAGGTATTTACATTTTTTCTAGAGCTTTATCAACTTTTTAAACTTAAATGATAACATATTTTATATTTTATTAGCTTTTACAATTAAAAATAATTTACTGAACATGTTGACTGGTCGTTAACCAATTTTGAATAGATAGTTTTAAAGTTATTAAATTTTAAAGTTTAAGACGGGAGGAAGGGTGGAGCGTAGAGTTATTTTTATGTGCACACATTTCTCAACCGTGCTCCACTTTCCGTCCTTAATTTTAACATTTATAACTTGAAAAAACAATTATTAAAAACCTGTTATTGGCAAATACAAATTGTCAGTAGGTATATTATTCTTGTTTTTAGCGCACCGTAGATTTAATTTGTAAAATATGTAAATTTGTTGACCGTTTTTGTTGATTTTGAAAGGGAAGAGATAGAATTTATACGTTTTCGGTCCAACGAAGTACCATTTTAAAGTAAGATTTCTGATCTGACTGGCAAAAAAAACGAGTTTTTCGAATATTTCAGTCCATGAAAGCTTTAACACAATATTCAAACAGTGTTGTACTTACCGGTTTTGTGTTCAGCCAGAGAAAGCCAAAGAGGAAAAGCAGCAGACGATAGCTTTGTTCGAAGCGGTTATGCATAAATCGCGTTGTACCGACAAAGACCAAGAAGAATGCATCTGGAAACTTTTGAGGCGGCAGCGATGTGACCGTGTGATACCGACGGCCTCGTGGCGTGTGCCTATTGGTTACAAAGACGGTTACAAAATCATCTACGGCTATTCCGAATCCGGAGGAGAGGCTGTGCCCGGGCCGCGGTCGTGCCGAAAGCAACGCGGCAAAGCATGGCCATGTACGGTGGAAGCCACGATCAAGTGCCTGGGAGACTGCTCGGCTTGGGACCATCCGATAAACAAAAGGCCTACCGTGCGGCAACGGTGCGAGGCCGCCCGTCCGGTCGAGCCGGTCGGCCGCGATCCGACAAAGGCCCATAAACCGTCCCGTGCAGGGCGCCGGACAAAGGCGCGCCAGCCGTTTGGGCCAGATGAAAAGATGGACGGTTATCCGTGGTATCCGCCCCTTACGTTCAGCCCAAACAAATAATCCAAAATTGCTAAATGATCAATACGTACATTTGATACACTTATAAGAACAAGAGCCCAATAGTTGTAAATTATTATTATTTAATAAATAGACAATCTAAGCGCTACTAATTAACGTTTATCGAGTTTAAGAAACGAAATATAATCTTCTTACTGTCTACTAAATCGTAAGAGTCATTAGATGTAGTCTCTACTAAAATTGTTTTCACAATACAGCAAAGTGAAGCTTACCAACGGGATAAAAACAAACAAACGTTTTGAATAGTTTTTTTGTCAATCAAATTATTTTTATTTACAAAGAATTATAATAAATATTCATAATGTTACAATTATTAATTTTAGTGAAAAAATTGTTTTATTTTAATTTTAACCATGTTTTTTTTTTTTTATTTATTATATTTTAATTGTTTCAACATAATCTTGTTTTTACAATATATTAATTAATAAGTTACATAATTAAGTAGGCATAATAGAGTAATAAAATAATTTATAATTATTTTAATTTAGCAAATTGTACATAAATTATGAGTTGTTTTAATTAGGTCATTAATCTGATAATACCGATGATGATTCTGGAGGTAGTAAGATATCTTGTGGGAGACGTGGCTTTAGTCGGCGGTTTTTGGTTCTTTTCCCAATTTTGAAGTGAAGGGCTCCTTCTATTGTGTTAACCATGTTAAATATAATAACGATGATGTTGTAACAACAAAAGTAGCTGTCCATCTTATCAACATAAATCAAATAAAAGGAAATAAATTGTTATGTATCAGGGTCGAAGTCTCATTAAATAATAATATATTGTTACGGCAATCTGTTTGGGTCTTTAATAAGTATTGCCTGAATAGTGAATGGTATAAAAAAATGCATGTTTTAAACAAAAACATGCCGTATTGTTGTCAAGTAATAATAAAAAAAAATACGCTTTATTAGATAATGAATGGTAAATAAATGTATTACGCGCAAAAACTGAGATATATACACATAATATTAGCAATGGATGAAAAAAAAAAAAGCTTACATCACCAATAGCCAATAGCCTCTGCTTTAAAGCTAAAAACGTAACTTAGCCATCAAATTATGTTCGATTATTCAAACTTAAACAAGTCGTAGGTAAATTCTCAAATCAATATTTTGATTTTTAGATTATTATTGTTACATAAAACAAAATTATATTTTCTAACGTTAAATTGGTTTATGTTTCGCCTTCTTTTTTCATTTTGGGACATTGAGTTATTATTTTTTAAGTTAAATTATTTAAGAAGCCGTTACAGTTTAATATATTGTTTTTGTCTGTAAAAAGTAGAATAATGTAATCTGTATAATTTGAATATATTTTTACTTAAAAATAATACAATTTATTTATTTTTTGATTAAATAAATCATAACAGTTGGCCATGTTTAAAACTTTTTATGACCATAAATTTTGTTTATTCAACTTGTTTGTTCGACTCATTTCTAAAAAAAGTTAAAAGTATGAAATACATTTACTTTAATTTGTATTATTAATAATAAATGGCTAGCTGGAAAAATATTGAAAAATAGTGAAAAAATATAAAAATAAAATTTGTTTTAATTTATTTGTTAATTTGATAATACAAGACTGATCGAAAAGAAATGTATTGTACATCGACGAAAATCGGAAAAACAGATAACTCGGTACTTTCAATGGTATTAGGTTAATTAAATAATAATTAAATTTGTTAAAAAATGACAGCGCGTTTAAGTATGCATTCTATTTTGAAATAATAAATCTTTTTATCTCTGTAACAAATGTAATTTTCCATTTCTTAATGTATAGGCATTTATTTATTTTGTTGTAGAGTTAATAATTCTAAACTACAATTCAATGACAAACTGCCATATTAATTGCAAACCGGCAAAAACCCGTATAAACTATACCGATATTCTTTGGACGACACTGTAGTACTACTGAGAAACGTTAGAAACCAAGAAAATATCATGACCTAACTTTTTTTTCCTAGGAGGGATGGGAACTTTTTCTTTATTGTCGTTTTTAGCCGTAGTTTTTGGACTTATGGTCTACAAAATGAAACCGAAAGTGGATCCGACTAATTAACGTGTAACTCTACTACGTGTAAAATGGTTTATACTGCTGATGAGTAAACAATTTTATAGACAAAACATACTACAGGTATATAAATTAAATATGCTCAACGCTAAATAA